CACATCTGCAAACATGCACACGAGAGTGTCCCAGCCCGGACCCCGGGCACCCAATACCCCAGCACATGATATACAGAACGAATCGACGCTCTCCTTTCAACAGAGACGTTTTGTCGTCGACGTTTCAGAAAGCGGGAAGCGGGAATGACACAGGGCGCACATCGCATGCGAAAGGCGAAACGTCGCTCTGGCATCGGCGCCGCACTCACTTTTCGTAAGAATTGAGTTCCCGCCTAAGGCGCGGCGCTTTTTTTTGGTCGCTCGCCAGCTCGTCGACAGTGGGATCGCGCACGAGGGGGCGAAACGTCGCTCTCGCTTCGGGCGCCGCGCAGACTTCGCCTAGAAGCATGGCACTCCCGCCTGTGTGCGGCGTGCATGCTTCATTCGCCACGTTGTTGAGGGCAGGGCCGCGCGCAAGCGGGCGAATTGTCCCTTTAGGTCGGGCGTGTCCCCCTACAGGGGGGTTTGGGGCGAAAAATGGTACTGCTTTAAAGTGTATTAGAAAATGATCCAAACGACTATGTTTTGACTATCTTTGAATATTCCCCCTGTAGAGGGACAGGCCCGACTTAACCGTACAGGTACTGCCTCGAAGTGGGGTTCCCGCTCTGGCACGGGGTATGTGTTTCGCTCGCCGAGCCGCGGGGAAACGACGGCAGCGGGGCCGGGCTAGAGCGGCTAATATGTTGTTCTCGCCCAAACGCTGCGCAGATGTTGTGCGAAAGTGGGGGTGATGCCTCGGCACGGCGCAGCCCTTCGTCTTTGCCGAGCTCATCGGTAGTTTGGACCCGCGAGGGAAGCCAAGTAATGCTCTCGCCGCACCGGAATGCAAAGACTTGTTCCTTGAGTTCCCACTCGAGACCGTATGCGGCCCGTGTTTCCCCCCCTCGCCAAGGCGTCGGAAGCGGGACCGTTCGTGAGAGCCTTCCATTCGTTATGTGGGAATGCGCGCCAGTCCAAACATCAAACTTCATCACCACTGGTTCCGACGCTATGGGAGGGAGGGTGGGAGTAAACAGGGCCCACTGACTCGCTCGGCATGGCCAACCTGGCCTGGCTCCCACTCCTTGTCTTTCTCCTCATCCCTCCTCTTCCGCCTCCTCCTCCACCACCTCCTCTTCATCCTCCTCCTCCACGACCTAACTGTGAACATCGAGTTACAGAGCCAGCGAACTACGAATACATCACGATCTGACAATCAATATCCGCCACCGTGCCCTGAAGCACGAGTTCGACTGTCCTCAGGTCCTTCGCCTGATCACTCAAGCCTCAACTCTCAATCGTGAAGATTCTTTGAGGGGCCCTGACCCCTAGCTTTCTGCATATTTCATGGGGCTTGTCGCGCGCCTCCTTAGGCCCGTCGCGTCTTTCCGCCTGGCCTCTCCCGGCCCAGAAGGAACCCGCGACGGGCCAGGAGGGTCCAGACCCCCAAGATAGTCAGGCCCCGAATCGCCGAAAGACCGATGGCCTCCAGTCGGCCGAAAGAGCGCCCAAGACGTCCCAAGAGGCCTTCGAGTCCCTTCCCAAGAGGGCCCCGACAGGTCAAACCATTGCTCTTCCATCCGTTTGTCGATGTGTTTGGGGTTTTCCATTTTCCAGCTTCCGAAGCTCCAAGACGTCCCAAGAGGCCCCCCAAGATGGCCCCAAAGGCCCCGAAGAGGGCCCTGGACGGTCCAAAAAGGCCCCGAATTGGCGAAATACTGGTCCACGACGCCCAGAATTTCCCCCACTCTGTCGAAAAGCGCCAAAGACGTCCCACGAGGCTTCCAAGACGCTTCCCAAGAGGGTCCCGAAAGGTCGAAATCATTGCTGTGCCATCCGTTTGTCGGCGTGTGTTTGGGGTTTTCCACTTTTCGAGCTTCTGACGCTCCAGGACATTCCAGGAAGCCGCCGAGACCGCCCCAAGGCGGCCCCAAAGGCCCCCAAGAGGGCCCCGAGACGACCCATGAAGGCCCCCAACGCGGTCCAAGAGACACCCAAGGCGGCCCAAAAAGGTCCCAAGACGGCCCCAAGGCTCAAGATAGGGGAACACGAACCACCGCAATCCCAACCTTCCGCCCCAAGATGCATCCAGGAGGCCCCATGGGGCCCCCAATATGCCCAAAACAGTGAACCACTGAACCGGACCACGAACCACAGAACCGAACCGACCGAGGGAGAACCGACGGAACCGAAACCAGTCAGAAACCCGACGTGAACCGAAACCAAACCGAACCGGAGGCGGTGGAACCGAACCGGGCCCGAACCGGGAACCGAACCGGGAACCGATCGTGGAGGTGGACCCCTGGGAACTGCCCGATGCGAGCGCCCACTCGCGCGCTAGGTCCATCCCGCCCGCTCCCAACTCCTCCCCTGCGCCCCCGATTTCCCTCGTCCTGTTTCGCTGCTTGTCCAGGGCCGAGCTGGGGACGGAAGGGCGGCGGAAAAGTTCAAATCGCATTTTTAGACGGTTCGAAAATGCGTTTTGGGCCTCTAGGTGGTTTTCGGAGCCTCCAAGGCTGCGCTGGGGATGGCAGGGCGGCGGAAAAGCTCAAATCGCATTTTTGGACAGTTCGAGAATGCGTTTTGGGCTTCCATGTGGTTCTCGGAGCCTCCAGGGCTGCACTGGGGACGGAAGGGCGGCGGAAAAACTCAAACCGCATTTTTGGACGGTTCGAAAATGCGCTTTGGGCTTCCAGGGGTCCTGGGGGCCTCCAGGGCCGAACTGGGGACGGCGGCCGGGGCTGGGCCCCACCATCCTGCGCGCGCCCGGCTCACTGGCGCTTAGCAAGTGGCCTGGTGGTCTGCCACAGCCAGCGGACGAGAGACAGCCGACAACGTAAGACGAGCGGTGCGAAAGTTACTCCGGGAAGCATGACAAAACATAGCATATAGCATATAGCACAGAATAGCATGGCATATCGTGGCAAAGTATAGCATAGCATAGCGTAGCAGTGCATAGCATAGCCATGGCATATCATAGTAGGGGAGTTGTTCGCGTTGCATTACTTGCGCTCATGCAGTACATGGGCGTGCTAGTATGTGTAGATATCCCACACCCTCGCACCGCAAAAGCTCCGGAACGGTAACCGCACTTTGCGATACTGAGTGCATGCGCGAAGCGCCGCCACAGCCCCCACCCAGCGCGAACGAAACCTTCCATCGCGTGCCGCGCGCACGAAGTCATTCCGATCTGCGTCCAGCTGCGGCGACACAGGACGGGGGGCCTGAGCCTGGCTCCAAACGCCAACGAAAAAAACCCTGAAAACCTAATCCTCCTCCTCTGCCTCCTCCTCCTCCTCCTCCTCCTCCTCCGCCTCCTCCTCCTCCTCCTCCTCCTCCTTCTCTTCCTCCGCGCCCTGTCCCTCGGCCGGCCTCAGCCTCGGTCGGCTTCGGGCTCTGGCTTCGCTCGGCCCGGCGACCTCGACGAGCCCGCCTCGACGAGGACCGCCGCCGCCAACCATGAGCAGGAGGAGAGGGGGCGATGGGGATGATGATGAGGGTGATGACGAGACCATGGCGATGGTGCAGGCATCATCTCTTAACGTCGTCTGCAGCCTGGCAGCGTCGTGGGCACTATACATCAATCAAGACTTGCCCCTGCTGCTGGCGCGGCGTCGCGGGCAGGCGACTATGTACGTTGCAATATTTATGGTTTTTGATTTGCTCAAGAGCTCCTAGGTACCTACTTGGTGCTGCGGCCTCCTTGGCAAACGAGAGTGGACGAGTAGGCTTCTGCCATCAACCGACTGGCAGACTTCCGACGCGGGGCTGGACCGGCGGGGCGGTGGGCGCCCAGGCTGGGCCAGGGAGAGCGGCAGGCGGGGTTGGAGCGGGCGGGGGTTCTTGGGCTCTTGGTCTTCTGGGGTTCCATGGGGAGTGGAGCGAGGCAAGCACCGCGTCTGACCATGCTCGGCCTCAGCACGAGGCCCCTAACAGTAGGGCCTAAGCTTTGCACAGCAAAGCCACCTCTGCCCAGGAAAACCGCAACCTGGGCGCCGATGGCCGAGCAGCCAAACGCAAGCAAAACGCGGGGGCTAGTAGCTCGATTACTCACTTGTCACCGTCGGCATTAGACAAGTTCCAGGACTCCTCGCTGGGATGATCGCTGCCCAGCCCGGCGTCGTCTGCAGCATCCTCACCCTTCTTGGCCCTCTTGGGCTTCGGCTCAGCCAGGTCCCCCCCGTCGCCGCCCCCTGCGCCGGCGGCTGCCTTCTTTGCCTCCGCCCTGGCCTTCCGGGTGGCAGCCGCCTTCTCTGCCCTGGCCTTGAGCGCGGCGGCCTTGGCGGCGGCCTCGGCGTCGGCGACGCTGGCGCCCGGCGCCTGCCCGTTGAAGAAGGCGGCAGCCTCGAGAGAAGGAGGAGGAAGGGATGATGAGGAGGGGGGGAGGAGGAGGAAGAGGGGGAGGGAAGGAGAGGGGAAGGGGTCGGAGGGAGGGGGAGGGAGGGGGGAGGGAGAAGGAGGAGAGGAGAGATGGGAAAGAGGAGGGAGGTGAAGCTCGATGCCTTTCCTCAACCACCGCGCTCTGCATCCTATCCCGCATCCTCCCTTTCCTTATCGCTCCCTGCTCCCCTCCTACTCCCCCGTATTCCTCATCCTCCTGCTGCTGCTCCTCCGCCTCACCCTCCTGGGGTCCTGCCCTCGAACCTTAGGGTCGTAGTGCAGGTGGCACTGCTCATTGACCACGCAGCGGAGGGCGGCCATCTTGAAGCGGTCCTGGAGAGCCTCGACGAGGGGAATTGCAGGAGGAAGAGGAGGGGGGGGAGGAGGAGGAGGAGGAGGAGGAGGAGGAGGAGGGGGATGAAGACGAGGAACGAGAAGAGGAAGCATAGGAGACAGGGGAATGAAGGATTAGTGGGAGGAGGGGGGAGTGAGAAGTCAGGGAAGGAGGAGTGGGGGAATCCCCTTGCCCGTCACCTCGTTCCCTGGCCCCTCCTCCTCCCCCTCATCCTCCTCCTCCGTCCCATCCTCCTCCTTCATCATCCTCATGCCCTATCATCACCATCATCTCAATCCGAGGCCTCGGCGTGCAGCTCAGTGAAAGCCAGGCAGAAGTAGGCGATGCCCTCGTAGATGCACTCCTCGCCGCACGCGCCCGGGCCGGGCGAGATGTCGAACGCGTGGGACGCGAAGTACCTGCGATTCAGCTCCGAGAAGAACTTCGGCGGCATCGCGTTCATGGAGACCATCTCCCAGTCGTCGTTCTCGCGCTTCTTGCCCTCGCCCTGGCCGGCGACCTCGCCGCCCACGGCGATCCGGTAGTCCTTGCCGTAGATGCATTTCTTGGTTGCGAAGGTGGCCTGCCACTCCTCGCTGGGCAAGGGCAGCACGACGGGGCCGATGATCGCGCCCTGATTGGTGCCCGATGATGGGTAGTGCTTCGAAGCACGCGGCGGCAGCTGCAAGGGGGCGGTCGAGCAAATGTGCAACTGGCTCGTCTGCTTGACGCAGGCCACTCCGCGCGTAAGCTTCTTGCGCTCCTTCATGCTGGCCTCGTCCTTGTAGACCGTGATCCCCCTGGATACGAAGCGGACGGCCTCCTCGTCGTCCTCATCATGATCATCAACCACGACGGCCTCATCATCGTCGGGGGCCTTCTTCTCAGATTTCTCGAGGATCGAACCAACCTTCCACGGTGCAAGCAGGGCCTTGGTGATGCCAGGCTTACCCCCGTCCATCAAGAATACCACCTCGCCGTCGTTCAAGGACGCCTTGTTGCCCTCCCCTGCGCGAGCTTCCAGAACCGCCTGGACAATGCGCCTGTATGGTTTCTCTTGGAATGGAGGGGATCGCAGGTGCGGGCTGGTGACTGACTCGCCGAAATGATCGGGATTGAAATGGAAGACGAACACCCCCGACATGTCCGCTAGCCTGCGTTCGCAGGCTCCAGGCGTATCATCATCATTATCGTCGTCTTCTCCGTCGTCGTCGTCGTCAACGACAACAACAACGTCATCATCGTCATCGTCATCGTCATCATCATCCCCAGGCTCCTCCTCCTGCTGCTTGCCTGCCGCGCTCCCCTTCAGCGCCCCGTCTACCCGCATCCCCTGGGCCAGGACATCGACGGCCCCAACGTCGTCGAGGCTGCATGGGGGGGGGGGTGGCGGCACTCGGCAGAGCGTCGGATCTCCCTCGGCCATCGCCATATTCGACGAGCGGATCTCCTGTTTCAGCATGTTCATGTTGCTCGGGATCACCTGGCGTAGGAGGAGGGCAAGGCACGTTGTGGGAGGGAGGTGGGGGAGGGCAGTCAGAGTAGGAACTCCTCATCCTCCTCCCCCTCGCCCCTCTCCTCCTCCTTCTCCTACACCGCCTCCTCCCGATCCAGGTTCGAAGCGACAAAAGGTCACCACGACGCGCGTCAGGGAGCGCGCTATCCGGTCTGCCATCTTCAGGTAGTCGAAGTACTCGGACTCCTGGTTGTTGTCGGTGGGCCTCTTGGCAAAGATGAACTCGTCGGCCTTGAAGCACTGGGTGGATGGCGTGGCAGCCGCCGCCGCACCGCCGTCGCTGCCGCCCGCCGTGGAAGAGGCAGCTGCGCCTGCAGCGCCGCCGCCTGCGCCAGGGGCCGTCTCGGTGGCAGCGATGGCTTGCTGCTGCTCCTGCTTGAGCTGCTCCTACGGGGAGTCGCAGCGGAGAAGGAGGAGCACAAGGACGAGGAGGCGGAGAAGGAGGGAGGGGAGAGACGGGAGGAGAGGATCGAGAGGGTAGGAAGAGGAGGAGGAGGAGAAGGAGGAGGAGGAGGAGGAGGAAGAAGGATGGCACAGGTAGAGGGAGCAGGCAGGAGGGGGAGGGCGAGGATGATGATAAACGGCAGCAGGGAGAGGAGGTGAAGGAGGGCGCCCCTTGTGATCGTTGACCTCCTCCTCGAACGACTGGTTATCCAAGAGCTCCTCCGGGGTCTTGTTGTACTTGGCCGCTTGCCTCAGCGACCCGTCGCACTCGCTGCCGTAGATGATTTTTTCCCACAGGGTCACCGCCATGCGGAACGACTTGGGGCGCTTCTTGCCTTCGCCGTCGACGAACAGGAACGAATTGTCGTTGGGCTGCTCGCCGGGGTAGTTGGTGAACGCCGAACGGAACGAAACGTGCGATGCAAACGTCTTGCGGCAGAATGCGATTTCTTCAGGTGTGAACGCAGCGGCGTGCGCCCAGCGGTTCAAGAAGTAGTCAAGGCACCGCAACTTCATATTGGCCAAATCGCAGCCCCACATGTTGAGCTTCGTCCCCGAGCAATCTGACAGCTCTATATGGCCCATCCTCAGGGCGTCGGGCGCCCAGTTGTAGAACCATTCGATGTTGTGCTCAGTCTTGCAGCGGTTCATCACGACCTGGAACTTATAGATAGCGTCGGTTGGCCCGCCGTTGTTCTTGTAGAGCGAGTCGAGCCTCAGCACCGCGTTGCTGACCGCCTTGTTGGCCAAGATCCGGTCCTTCACAGACATGGCCGCGTCAATGAATGACGCAGAGAGCTCTTCACTGTTCTGCGCCAGCTTGACCTTCAGCAGGAAATGCTCTTCCATCTGACTGACGCTGGGGCCCTTCTTGTTCGAGCTCGCGTTCTTGACCGCCCACGTCTCCCGTATAACCATCTGCACCTTCTGGAGGGTTGTCCAGCTCGCGGCGAATGCCTCGCCCTTGGTGCCCTCGCGGAGGGTGAAGCTGTGCGTCGACACGTCGGCAGGGCTCAGGCGCCAAACATCCACGGGGCAGTTGGCGAACAGCTTGAGCCACTCGCGGGCGCGAGCGTCGGTCATGGTCTTTCGCTGAATCTCGACGAAGCACTGCTTGATCGGCGCGTGGAGCTTCTCCAGCGGGGAGACCACGTGCAAGGCCCGCGTCGCGCCCCAATTGTCCTCGGGCGGGTCTTAGCCAGAAAAAAACAACTCCTCCTCCTTCCCCTCCTCCTCCTCCTCCTCCTCGCCCTCATCCCCACCCTCCCCCGTCCTCCCACGAAAGGGTAGCAGGGCTGGGGAACGAGGGGTGGCAGGCTGGAGGAGGGGGAACGAATGAATGCTTAAGTGGCCCTTTGGTTTGGGGGTGAGCAGGTCTGTTTCAAATTCTAGGCCCCCGCCAGTCCGTGTCGAGATCAGTCCGGGCAATTGCCATGGTCCTGAGCTTCTGAGGGGGCCGCCCCCCAGCGGGGTAGTCGCGGGCCCGCAGCCGGTCCACGTCGTCCTCGTTGACCATCACCCCAGGGGTCGGGGTAGCGAGCGGGTTCATCCAGAAGAACGGGATGGCGCCGGCAGCGATGATGATCGGATCGTCGACCGTCTCGGAGGAGCCCTCCAGCTTGTTCTTGAGGGCGTCAATGCTCATGGGGAGTCGTGACGGGGCCGTCTTGCGGGCAATTCGGGTCCAAGTCGCGAGACTTGAGGCCGCTCGTCTGCATCGCGTTCTTGAGGATGTCGTGAGACAAGATGGCCTCGAGCCAGGTCTGGAGCTTCTGGTTGTACTCTCCGCTGAGTCCGAACAGCTCTGCTTGGGGCAGCCCAGCAGAGCTGGATGCCGCCAAGGCGTCACAGGCTTGGTCAGCGGGCGGCGTCGTCTTCTTCTGAGTTCGCCTCTTGGGCGCGGTCGGGGCCCCGCATCCCTTGCCTCCCCTGCCTCCGCCCATCCTGTCGGGATGCCTGTCGAACGAGTGATTGGAAACAAAACAGATTGTCGTGAGTCGACAGCAGAGCTCGAACCAAAACGGCGATGGGGGGAGGTGAGGGGAGAGACCTGGGGGCGGAGAGATAGCAAGGGAAGGGGGGAGGGCGTGAGAGAGGGGGGAAGGGCAAGCTAGGTGCGCTCGCGTCAACATCTGACATCCTACCCCTCCCTCCCATCCCTTCCCATTGAGCTACTTCATTGTCCTCTCACCGGATCGGGCTTCGCATCTTACCCGGTTACCTAAGAGGGAAAAGAGGAGGACGACGGCGCGATGAAAACGAAGACGACGACGACGAAGACGACGACGACGACGACGACAACCACGACGACGACGACGACGGCGGCGACGACGACGACGACGACGATGAGGACGACCGGCGACGAAGACGACGACGACGACGACGCGACCGCGCCGGAGCGGCACCCGCGCCAGCTGCCCGCTGCCGTTACGCGCGCCCCCCACCCGGATCTCAAATTTCTGCAGGGGTGAAAGGAGAGTAGCATTCATATTGGGTAATGGTAAAGTGGGTCCGATGTCAGAGTTGTGCAAGTGCATTCATATTGAGTAATGGTAGAAGTAGAAATTGCCAATCGCGACAAAGACGCAGACGACGATGCAGGTGCATTCATATTGAATAATGGTAGAGGTAGAAATTGCCAAATACTCGGGGATACTCTGGGACCGACGGGACCTGATGGCCGCCGGATCCAGAGCAGGGAAGGGGAGGATGCAGGCCACAGGAGGCGGACGATCAACGAGACAATACAATGCGAAGAGGATGGGGCGTATGAGCACAGACGAAGAGGTAGAAGAGACAGAGGAGAATGAGGAGGAGGACGAGCAGCAGCAGCAACAGGAGGACCAGGAGGTTGGGAGTCGGATTATGTGGAGGATAGGGGGCAAAGGAGAAGGACGCCCTGGTGAGAGCGCAATTGAAAGCACCAGCGATGGAGCCCAGAGCGTAGCATGTCATAGCACTACAGAGCGTAGCATGCCATAGCATGGCGTAGAAAACCACTGCAGAGCGTAGCATGTCATAGCGGGTTGTGGCATTGCGTAGTGAGGCATCGAAACAAACACGACAACGTCGAAAAAAAACGACGACCGCAGGGTGCAGGGCGAACGAAGCCAGATTCCAGGGATACTGAAAACCAACGGGGTCCCTACACTCGCTGTCGGGGTACACGGCTGGCGAAACAAGAGGAGGCGGAGGAAGAAAAGGATCAGGAAGTTGGGGGGGGTCAGGAGGAACAAGAAAGAGGTGGAAAAGGATAAGGGGGGTCGGAAGCGGATTATGTGTAAGATAAGCCGCAAAAGGGAAAGGCGCTAAGGCGAGAGCACAATTGAAAACACCAGCGATGGAGCCCAGAGCGTAGCATGCCATAGCACTGCAGAGCGTAGCATGTCATAGCATGGCGCAGAAGAGCAATGCTGAGCGTAGTATGTCATAGCATGGGACGCGGGACGCATGCGCTGCAGCGGCAGCACGATCTGGAACGACCAGAGGCGCAGAAATGGGACCGACGCTGCAGCGGGAGCGACATGTTGAAGAGCCGAAGAGTGCCGTAGTGCCAAGAAAACAATACGGCAGCACGATTTGGAATGAGCAGAGGCGCAGACATGGGACCAACGCTGCAGCGGGAGCACCATTGTTGAAGAGCCGAAGAACGCCACTGGAGCGGAGCATATCATAGCATGGGGCCGGGGACCGTTGCACTGCAGCGGCAGCACGATTTGGAACGACCAGCGGCGCGGAAAATAGGACGAACGCTGCAGCGGGAGCAACATTCTGAAGGACCGGAAAGACTCGGATTTTCAAAAACATAGATGAAAACCAAACTCCCGGGAATCCTGTGCGGAAAAGGACGCCGCCCAAAAGGGGGGGGGGGCTTTCTGCGGCCCCAAAAATCAACGAATCGACACCGGATGTGTAATCACCTCCAATGTTTTTGCCGGGGATCATTTTCTAGATTTGGGGCTTCTTAAAAAGGATCGAAAACGTCGGCGCTGCAGCGGGAGCACGTTTTGGAACAACGAGAGGCGCAGAAATTGGGCCAGCGCTGCAGCGGGAGCACGATTCGGAACGAGCGGGAGCGCGGAAATGAGGCCAGCGCTGCAGCGGGAACACGATTCGGAAGGAGCGGGAGCCCGAAAATTAGGCCAGCGCCTCAGCGAGAGCAGCATTTTAGAAAAAACACAAGCGAAAACCCAACTCCGGGGAATCCTGTGTGTAAAAAAAAACAATACGCGGGGGGGTGCCGAACATCTTCTGGACGCCATCAGGGGAAGTGGGAGAGTAGTATTCATATTGTGTAAGTGTAAAGGGATGGGGGATGGGGCAGAGCAGAAGTTGGCGAGCTTGCTCTGAGACTGAAGCTGTGCAGAGGCAGAGTCTCGCTCAGTCCGTTCTCGCTGTGAGGGCCTGCGCTGGGCGTGCAGGCGCAGCTCTCGCCCGTCTCAGATACACCCCCCTCAGGCTCTCCCGAGGTGACAGTTTGGGGGGGGGCCTCGAGCAGAATTGTTTACCATGTGGTGACGATGCACGACGACGGTGATGATGGTGGCGATGATGGTAATGCTGGCGATGATGATGGCGATAATGAGGATGGTGATGATGATGATGATGATGATGCTGATGATGATGATGGTGATGGTGATGATGATGATGATGATGGCGATGATGATGCAACCAGAACTCTCACGTGTCAGCTCACGTGGGTCGCCACTGGAACCCCACAAACAGCAGCGCTAGTTGCACCTAGAAATCACCTGTGCACGCTGCCTCGCTGGCTTGTAATTGCCCACCAAGCGGCGCGAGACTAAACCTGGCGAGAACAGTGCGACGCGGAGAACCCGCTCCACCATGTTGATTGGGATAGAGTTGCCCAACATGAAACCCATCTGGCTCGGGCTTACACTCTCGACGCCACCCTTGATCATCTCGCGCAGGTTAGCATCGATGCCCGTGAGTTCGAAGAGCTCGGACAAGTACACCCTGCGCCCCCAGAGCGAACACCAGTAGTCCCGCGACTGAGCCCGATTCTTCGTGATGCAAGGGAACAGGCCACGCTCTGTCAGCTTGACGCTGACGTTGCAGCGGTTCGTAGAACACCCGATGTCGGATATGACCATGACCTTGGCAGGGTTCACCTTGTTCTTAAGGTGCTCGACGTACTTGCGTTTCACGTTCTGCCTGCGACGCATCGCTGCCTTGCCCTCCTCTTTCGGTGGGAGGTTCTTTGGGTTATCATGAGGTGATGCCCCGATGATCTCGTCAAGCTTCCGCTTCAAAGGCACTGGCTTAGGCCACTTGAAAGGGTGCTTCCACTCCCCATGACAGGCGATCAGGAAAAGGCGCGCCCTGTGCTGAGGGATGCCATGCTGCCAGCAACGCGCGATCTTCATCTCCAGCTTGTAGTTCAGCGCCTTCAGCTTATTCCTGATGGCGGTCACGATCCACTTGTGCTGGTCCGACGCGACGTTCGGGACCATTTCATACGTGGCCAGCTTTGGAAGGTTTTTCTCGATATACTCGAGGCACGGCTTGAACATAGTGTCCCGAGCGTCGACCCCCTCAGCCCGTGACCCTGACCCCATCGGGGGAGATGGGCGTGCAGGGCGGCGAAAAGTGATAGAAGTCCACATGAGGAACATCTCGGGTTGCACGGGTTAGAATATCATCATACCAGTTGTCAGAGGCATCGCGCTCATTTGAAATTTCTTTACATGGGGAACTTTATCGCCACCAAAGATATGATGCATAGGGACACGCATGCTCTTGAGAGCAAGCACAGGTGCATTGAGGCCTGTGAAATCGGCGCCAACCCGCAGCCCTTTCCCCATAGCTGCAAACACCAAGCTTGCCAAAATATGTCAAATGGCGGCTGCGCGCCGCTGCTTGACATTGAGAGAACAAACAGCTACTGACACGAATGCGACGACGATGAAAGGAGATGCCGCGATGTTGAGAGCAGCGGGGTGCCCACCCCGCCCGACTCAACGTTCGATGACGTCGCTGGACGTTGAGCGGGGCGCCCATGACATGCCTCAAGAGACCCTTGGATATTGAGAGCGGTGGATGATGACTTTATGTGCATCATGATCCGGGCCCCTCAACGTTCGACGACGTCGTCGAGCGCTGAGCGCCCTGGGGCGGGCACCCCGCCGCCCTCAACATCGAAACCTCAACTTAGCAACGCCGACTCAGCCCTTAGGCGATCGGTGACCAGGTGCCGACCTGGCTCGCTCAACGTTCGGCGACGTCGCCGATCCGGCCCTCAACGTTCGGCGAAGCCCCCGAGCCTGCTCCCGAAGCCGACGATCCTTGTCTCAACGTTCGGTGACGTCGCCGACCGAGCCCTCTCAACGTTCGGTGAAGCCCCCGATCCAGCAGCCGGCCCTCTCAACGTTCGGTGACGTCGCCGATCCGGCCCTCTCAACGTTCGGTGAAGCCCCCGAGTCAGCAACCAGGCCCTCTCAACGTTCGGTGACGTCGCCGATCCGGCCCTCTCAACGTTCGGTGAAGCCCCCGGGCCCTCTCAACGTTCGGTGACGTCGCCGATCCGGCCCTCTCAACGTTCGGTGAAGCCACCGACCCTGCCCTCAACGTTCGGTGACGTCGCCGATCCGGCCCTCTCAACGTTCGGTGAAGCCCTCTGGGCCCTCTCAACGTTCGGTGACGTCGCCGATCCGGCCCTCTCAACGTTCGGTGACGCCACCGACCCTGCTCTCAACGTTCGGTGACGTCGCCGATCCGGCCCTCTCAACGTTCGGTGCAGTCCCGACGAGACGACATCAACCTGACAACGGCGACGGCGACGACGGACGGTCTCTAATGTCGTCCCCGCCCCTCCTTCGCCTCCTCCTCTTCTATGTTGGCTTGGAAGACAAGAGAGGGGCCCAAACTCCAACCTCCTCCTCGTGATCCTCCTCATCCTTATTATCCATCCTCCTCCTCCTCC